GCTTTAAGTATTAAATCAGAAATTCGACATGAATCACAATTATTTTCAATAATAAATATGTATATCTTAGTGACATAATTTAATTTTTGAATATTTTCATGATAAAGTGGTACATACTTCTCATAGCATTATTTACATGAAATATTACAAATAGTGGACAAAATCTTGCAATTTGTTTCAGATTTTTTTTTTAAACCACGAAAATCGAAGTTATATTTTCCTCCGCCACCGAAGGTGGACGGAGGTTATGTTTCACCCCGTGTGTGTGTGTTTGCTAGCAAGATTTCTCGAAAACGGATGAATTGATTTGGACGAAAGTTGGTATACATTTGGACTATGACCCAAAGTGACTAGTTTTTGGAGGGTCAAGGTCACAAAAATCCGCAATATCCATATCTGTTATCACGGTTTCCGATTTTTCACACTATTTTTGTTCTATAACTCAATCAAAAATGACGGGATTTTGTTGAAACTAGGTGGAATATTATTCCCCATTTTCCTGCCAAATATTATCTGTGTCCGTTGATAACGACGAACATACTGGCACATTTTCGGATTTTTTTAGAGCTGAATACAATCAACACTGTATGGCGGAGGTATGCGCTCTGCTGAGTGCCCCTCTAGTCTCACCTGTTTCAGACGAACCATTTAACTGTGATTGTTCATGTAACTAAAAATATTGTTTCATGACAATTTCAACTTTGTAACCTACGTAATACAAACACTGACTTTGTTCCATGCGTTATACTAATAATTATAAACACTAGCTACGAAGTGCATTTTTTCGATGCCATAAACTTCATAAATTTTCAAAGTTTATAGATTTTAATTCACATTTTTCGAAGCTTCTCCGTTTAGTGGTAGCTAAAGTAAAAGGAGAGAAAGGAAACGAAATACCAGCTTAGTTAATACATTCATTATCAGAGAGCAAAGAGTCAAACGAGCGAGGTTGCTTACCCAATATTGAAAAATAGTTGACAAGAAACTTTCAAACCTCAAGATAAAAGCCCATTGATCTTACGCTTTACATAAATGTCTATCATTTAATTCAAAACATTAATTTAATAAATTAGTTGCCAAGACTTCAACACTTTCATTCAGTGGCAGTGTCTGAAGAATAATCTAAATGTTTGTGTGTTGATATGAAAGGTGTAGATTGGCACAATAAAAACAAATGTCACCATTATTGCAACTGTTGTTTTGTAAAGTCCTGAAGCTGACCAGATTAAGTCAAGGTGGCGCTTGAACGAAACTGCTGGGCTGCATATCGTTGTTATATGTCGCTAATTTTCTTGCAGAAATGAGGCCCGAGATGAATTTCTAAAAGTTAAACTTTGCTTGATTAATGACCCCTTTAGCAGTATCTAGTCGTTTTCTGGTGTCATGGTATTCACTGGACAAAACAAGCAGCCGTTTATACTTCTGTATATTCCATTCGATACGTTTGAATGAGATGTATACTGAGATTCTCGAACGTTATTGTCCAATGTTGAATACAAAGGAAGCCCCCTTGGTTTATGTTGGATAAAGGCCGATGCTTTTATCGTTAGAAATGAGATGTGTGTGTGTGCTTTCCGCTTTCACTAAGAATAAAATTTTAAATGTTTTGACATGGCTGTACTTTTCATGAACGTATTGTTTAGTTTTGGTCAATCCAGATCTGGTGACTATATAAATGAAGCTTTTATACCACATTATTACACGGAGTTACGATTTTCTATTTCGTCTACTACAGTAGTAGATCCTAGCTGTTGTTTAGGCCCTGGTGAGTCAGACCACTTTCAACCTCTATGTCAACGTACTTTTGTGGAACGTCATTTAGTTATTGATAAGTGAGTATACAGAAATAAACGGGCTGTGAGAAAACTGTTGTTTGTTATTAAGCACAAAGCTACACAAAGGGCTATCTGTGCTCTGCTCACCACGAGTATCGAAATTCAGTTTCTTGTGGAATATGTCCACAGATATACCGCTGCGCCACTGGAGGGCTTGAGAAAGTTTGTTTGTTTGAAGTTAAGCACAAAGCTACGCAATGGGCTATA